AAGGAGGGGCCGCTAGGGCAGCGCGTGGGGTCGACGGGCACACGGGGCGCGGGCGACTCGGTCTAGTCTGAGGCGCGCTCCGGGCAGGAAAAACAAATTGTGGTGGGCCCTAGGTAGCGTTCCCACTAGGGAACCTGCTCTGAAACCATGAGAAGAAACGAGAATGGATGAACTATGAATGAACTGGGTACAAGTACTAACCCTAATTGGGTTGTACCCCCTATGGGATACCCCACTATAGCCTACACAAAAGCAGAAGCTATAATGTTCTGACAACCCGTGGCCTTGGTTCTCTCTCTTCCTGATATTTTTTCCATTCATCTGCACGTGGCAGTTCGCATGGGACATCACCAAGGAGCATGTCATGTCATTTTGTGTATCTCCAAGTGAGAGCAAAAGCGGCCAAAGTGCAGTGGTTCTTATTCCTGTTTCACTGCCCCAGCCTTTGACTATATATTCCGGACAAGCTGTAATGTCTAGTTTTTTTTTGCTCATCCAAGGTTTATTTTTGCGTCGTGCAGATCACGGTGTGCAAAAGTGCCACTAGAGCTGATGGGGGTATATTGCGGTTGGCCGATTTGTGCATTTGGCCGCCTTGGAGGTATGATATTTGTTTTACAAGCAGCGGTCGCTGCATAGCGCGGTTATTATCACTGGAAATTCTGATGAAACAGGTCGCTATGACGTCGAGGTTCTGTCACGTTCCATATTTTTTTCTTATGTGCAGGTTCAAGTTGTCAGAACATTATAGCTTATGCTTTTGTGTAGGCTATAGTGGGGTATCCCATAGGGGGTACAACCCAATCAGGGTTAGTACTTGTACCCACTTCATTCATAGTTCATTTCATTCTCGTTCATATTTTCTCACAAGTTTCGGTTTTAATGTGTGCAGATTTCAGCATGTTCCGTACGACCATACGGTCTGATGTTTGCTTGGCAAACCACGGTTTTCGTAGCTAGACGTTGTTCGGACGTTGTGCAGGCTTTATTTCGTACACACGTGCAGTAGCTCTTGATCGCACACGTGTTGTATCTCTAGTTCGCACAACTGTGCGGTATTTGTAGTTCGTACATCCATGTATGCACATGTGACTAACGAAGTCATTCCAAAGTTTCATCTACTTCTTGCTGTGCTGAAATTTCGGGTACTAAATGGGGACACTGTGTTTCGGGTGCGTCGCCTGGTGGGTTACTGTTCAAAATCGCCAGCCAATCAAATACTAGTTCCGCACCCCGCTCGCTGACATCTGATTGGTCTATTTCGACCAATCACCAGCAATGACACGTGGCAAAATACATGAATACACGTGGACGCGGGGCGTCCATGTGGCATGTTAACAAAGATGTGACGAGAAGATCACTTCATGAGACACTACAATGTGACATTCTGTATGACATTTGTCGGAGAACCACCTCATCCTTGCAACCTGCTCTTCCTCTTGTCACTCCCTTGCCTTCCTTCTCCTTACGTGGTTGATCAGCCTCAGCCACCACTCATGAAAGAGTTTCCTCCCTCACCCCGTAGGTCCTCCCATAGTGGCGTGCCACCGGATGCTAGATCTGAGGTAATAGCTTTCCACTAATATGAGAGAATAACAGGAGAAAAGCAACGAGAGGGTGTTTGGTACTGAATTTACCTGAACCTGGCTCAGCCGCACACTTCTCGATGTGCGCCTCGAGCCAGGCCCAGTTGCTTCAGATTGGTTCGTTAGATTCCCACCCCTCGATGTTTCCTCTAACCCTTCCCAACAACTTCGCCTCAACCCCCCATACTCCCCAACAACTCACCCACAAATTGTAATCATACAAAGACTACACCTGAACCTACACTTGCATCTACACCCGCGCACCAACTGTTATCGCATATGCACGAAGTGCATATTCGGTGACAGCTGTCGGAGAACCACCTCATCCTTGCAACCTGCTCTTCCTCTTGTCACTCCCTTGCCTTCCTTCTCCTTACATGGTTGATCAGCCTCAGCCACCACCTGCCCCCTCCTGTGCCCGTGCTCGAGCTGCCTGAGCTCGGGTCACAGGACCATGCTGCTGAGGCCTTGTTCCTTTGACTCCTGCCGTGTTGCTCTGATGTGCCTTCACCGGTACTTCTTTCTCATTATCCAGCACCAGCACCCCAGATTCACGCACCCCTTTTACTCTCCACTACCCTGCTTCACAACTTTCCACCCACCCGTTCACTTGCCTGGGCATTCTCTCCCACCACCATTCCCAGTTTAACAGCTGCACCATTCTCTCGTGGTCGAGTTGCCCCTGCTTGGTGTGCACTTCTTCGATTACTGGTTTCCTCTTGCCTGGTGCGGGTATCACCCTCCATCTCTCAGTCGGCTGCATCTGCAGCTCCTGTTGATACCACCTGCAGTGGTGCCCCCCCCTCACTCTCGCTCTCTCTGTCACTGCCTCTTCTTCTTCCGTTTCCCCCATCAGCCACTTCATGGCCCGCTCATTCTCCGAGATGTTTGCTGATTTCCTACTCCCCTTAACCTCATTCAGCACCACCTGCTTAGTCAGCAGCTCCCTAAATTTACCCTTGCATATCTCCTTATCCTCCGGCGGCCTTTTCCTCCTCCTGTGTAACACCAGTTTGCGGCTGCTCAGCTTTAGCTCCCAATGCTTTGCCGGGCCCTTACGCCCCTCCTGTGTGGCAAAGCGCCTCCAGTGTTTTGCTAGCATTGCCAACATCACCTTCTTCCCTTCTTCGCTCACTGTCTCTCCCCCCTTCCACTCTGGATTCTCCCCTTCCATGCGGGCCCAGGCTCCTTGTGGGACTGCGGCTGCCTCTGCTTTTCCTCCCACCTGCTCGTCCCGTTCCTCCGCTCTAGTTGCTGCTGATACACCCGCTTCTACCCCCACCTGCTCGTCCCGTTCCTCCGCTCCAGTTGCTGCTAATACACCCGCTTCTGCCCCCACTTGGTCGTCCCGTTCCTCCGCTCCAGTTGCTGCTGATACACCCGCTTCTGCCCCCACCTGCTCGTCCCGTTCCTCCGCTCCAGTTGCTGCTGATACACCCGCTTCTGCCCCCACCTGCTCGTCGCGTTCCTCCGCTCCAGTTGCTGCTGATACACCCGCTTCTGCCCCCACCTTCTCGTCCTTCTCTTCCGCTTTTGCTATTGCTGATGAGCACGCCTGTGCCCCCACCTTCCTGTCCTTCCCTTCCGCTTTTGCTACTGCTGATGTGCACGCCTGTGCCCCCACCTTCTCGTCCTTCCCTTCCGCTTTTGCTACTGCTGATGTGCACGCCTGTGCCCCCACCTTCCCGTCCTTCCCTTCCGCTTTTGCTACTGCTGATGTGCACGCGTGTGCCCCCACCTTCCCGTCCTTCTCTTCAACTTTTGCTACTGCTGATGTGCACGCCTGTGCCCCCACCTTCTCGTTCTCCCCTTCCGCTTCTGCCGCTGCTGGTACGCACGCCTGTGCTCTCACCTTCTCATACCTCCCTTCCGCTTTTGCTACTTGTGGTGTGCACGCCTGTGCCCCTTGTTTCTTCCCTGGTGATAGAGTTAGTTCAGTCGGAGCATGAGTACTTGCCATCCACTCAAGTTCCCCCGTTCCTGCCGTCATCACAACTATCCCCTTTGCTATCTGCTTCTCTGGTGCCATCAGCCCTTGTTCTTCTGCCATGACCTTCCCTAACATCCTGCTCCGTGCTCCAGTGTCTGTGATCACCGTCTTGACCTTCTCCCCCTCCATTGCCGTCGCCTCATTTCTCACCATCAGTTCTGAGGTCTGGCTTACCCGCCCGTCCCGCGAGTGGCGAGCTACAACGTCCCTTGGTGTCGTCTCCTCTGCCTGCTGCCCCTTCTCTCCTCCCTTTTGTCGGTGCTCCTGCTGGTCGTCCTTCCCTCCACTCCGTAGTCCCATCTCTTCCCTTCCCTTCCATGCCACGTACGCGCGCTGCACCTCCTGCTCTACTTCCCTGTCATCCTCATCCCTGGCGCTCGTTCCTGCCTCTGCTTCCTGCCTTTGTCTTAGTGCCTGCAGCTGTGCTTGTAGCCTGCTGAGCTCATGTTCCAGCTCTTCCGGGTTCCCCTTTGCTGTCCCCTCCCGCTGGTAGCAGTCCTTTGCTTCACGTCCCTTCTTGCTGGAAATTTCACACCACGATGCATCTGGGCACTCTCTCCTCAAGTATCCTGGCTTCCCACAACGATCACAGTTCTTGCAATCTCTCCTAACGTGCCCCGACTGTCCGCATCTATAGCAGGTCCTGTTGTCTGCCCTACCATCCCCTCGTCCCTCTGACCTTCCTTAATCTTCATATACCATTGCTGCTGCCCTTATCGGCCCACGGCTCCTCTCTGTCGTTTGTGGCCGGTACGCTTCAAACTTCCTCTGCGCAAACTCTATTTTCTATGCCAACTCGAAGACTTCATCTAGCGTTGTGTCTGCTCCCATTTAGTACACCCTCATCCGCAATCCGCTTCCCATGGTGCTGTCGAGTCCATCCAGGAACTTGCTAACAAGAAGGCCCATGTCTGCGCATGTTACATCCTCCGCCAGGTTGATCAGCCGGTTGTAGTAGGTAAGCAACGACTCGCTCCACCCCTTCCTGAAATTCTGAAATTCTCTTATCTTCTCCGCAGTGTGCCCTGGAAACTGCCGCTGTAACTGCTTCAGAAATGCTTCCGTGGGGTCTTCCCTGTACCTTCCTGCCCTCTCTAGCAACTCATCCATCTTCATTCTGTACAGCGTTTCCGCCTCCCCTTCCAGTGTGTTCGGCGGACTCAGAAAAAAATCCACCGAGTCCATACCACTCCTCTTGCACCTGTATCTCACATTCCCTACTTGCATTAAGTAGTTCTTGAGTGAGGGCCCTGTGCGCTGATCTCCCGCGAATCGCGCCGGCACTTCCACTTGCTCAAACATTGCCGTGCTCCCCCGACCGTCTCCCCATGATTTACTCAGTCCTCTCGCCTGCCTTCCTGATGACTCCCTCTCCCTTGCCCTCTTGATTCTTTCCCTTGCCACTCTGGCGCGCTCCGTGCTGTATGCCAGCCCGCCGCCTCCCCCTTCGCGTCCGCGCTGGTCCTGTCCCACCTCCCTTCGCATGTCCTCCGCACTCATCCGTGCTCCTGCTCGCCCCGACTGCCTCTCTGGCGAGTAATGCACCCTCGCCCAGCCTTCTCTATGCGTTCCTCGCTGCCAGTGCCTCTCGGGCGAAGGGGATCTCTCGTCCCTTCTCCCTCCGTGCCCGCGGCGACTGTCTTGCAGATGCCACTCCTCCCATCTCCCTCCCTGCTTGCGCTGCAGACCTGGCGAACGTGTCTCATCCCTTGCCCTTCCCGCGTGGTGCCGCCACGGATCAGGTGAGCCAGACCCGCCAGTCTGTCGTCTATCATGTTGCCCATGCCGATCAGGCGAGCGCGACCCGCCCCCCTGCCTCCCATCATGGTGCTGACGCACCTCAGGCGAGCGCGACCCTCTGTTCCGCCCTCCTCCGGGCTGCCAACGCGGATCAGGTGAGAACTCGTCCTCGCGCATTTCCTATTGCTCCTCCGCCCGCCCCCGCTACTACTCTGATGAGTGATTCACCGTCTCACGCCTCTCCTGCTTCCTGCATCGGCGCCGCTCCAGATTATACCCATATTCCTCCTCTTCACTATACTCATGTTCCTTCGCTTCACACAGCTCCTCATCACTCCTTTTCGTCTTCTCCCTCCCTTCCTTACCCTCAGGGGAATCTTCTTGACACCGCCTCCCTCGTCCGCCTGCTCCTCGGCGCCCATGATATTCTCTTACCCTTCCCTTGGCACTTCCCGAGTCCTTCCTTGGGGACACATCTCGCTGGCAGCGCTCTTCCTCATCCCTCCTCCTGTGTCTCTCTCTCTCTTGTCTCCCCCTTGCCTCTCCGTCAGGCTCCAGCACCAACCCTGCTCCTGCGCACGGGTACTCTTTCATTCCTTTACGGCGTGCTCTCGCATCCGCCCCCGCGATGTACTGCGACAAACACTCACTCCCCTTAACACGCACTCCCCCCTCCTCCTGCCGCTGCCGTGCGGGCGAGTGCTGTGCGTGCCCCTTACCGCGGTCGTTCCCCCTTTCCTCTCGCCGCAGCTCTGGTGATCGCCCTCCACCCAACGCCAGGCGCCTCCTGCGCTCGTGTCCGCCTCTTGGTTCAGGCGAGCCATACATACCCGCCTGCGCGTCTCGCCTCCTCATTTCCTCACGGCTGGCTTCTGGCGCGCGCTCAGCCTCCTTGACTTTGCCGCGCCTTGCGTAACTTCCGCGCATCCTGCCTGGCGAGCGATTTGCATCCGTGCTCCCCCGGCGCCCCGCGCCATTCTCAAGCATTTCGTTACGCTGCCGTCACCCATTTCGTCCGCCGCGCGACCTGAATCCGCGCTTCCATGGCGCCTTACGCTGCCATCACCCATTTCGTCCGCCGCGCGACCTGAATCCGCGCTTCCCTGGCGCCTTACACTGCCGTCACCCATTTCGTCCGCCGCGCGACCTGAATCCGCACTCCCCTGGCGCCTTATGCTGCCGTCACCCATTTCGTCCGCCACGCGACCTGAATCTGCGCTTCCCTGGCGCCTTACGCTGCCGTCACCCATTTCGTCCGCCACCCGACCTGAATCCGTGCTTCCTTGGCGCCTTACGCTACCGTCACCCATTTCGTCTGCCGCGCGACCTGAATCCGCGCTTCCCTGGCGCATTACGATGCCGTCACCCATTTCGTCCACCGCGACACCTGAATCCGCGCTTCCCTGTGTCAGAACATTATAGCTTATGCTTTTGTGTAGGCTGTAGTGGGGTATTCCATAGGGGGTACAAACCAATTAGGGTTAGTACTTATACCCACTTCATTCATAGTTCATTCATTCTCGTTCACATTTTCTCATGGTATCGAGCAGGTTCCCTCGTGGGAACTGTTCCTAGGACCCATCGATCCCTTTTTTTTTCCTGCCCGGGGCGCGTCCTGCCCTTGCCCGAAGCGCGCCTAGGGTCGCGCCCTTCTTAGCGGCCCCATCGCGTCACCTTAACGGCCCGTCGCGTTGCCCTTAGCGGCCCGTCGCGCCGCCCTTGCGGTCGCGTCGCGCAGCCCTAACGATCGTGTCGCGCCGCCCTTTCACCAGCGGCCCCGTCGCCGCTCTAGGAGCGGCTCGTCGCCGCCCTTCTCACGGCCCCGCCGTCCCGTTAAACGGCCCCGCCGCCCTCACCTGCGGCCCGCCGCCCTCAACTGCGGCCCCGCCGCCCTCACCTGCGGCCCCGCCGCCCTCACCTGTTGCGGCCCCTACCGCCCTTATCTGCGGCCCCGCCGCCCTCTGCTGCGGCCCCGTCGCCCTCAACTTAGGCCCCGCCGCCCTCAACTGCGGCCCCGCCGCCCTCACCTGCTGCGGCCCCGCCGCTCTCATCTGCGGCCCCGCCGCTTTCACCTGCGGCCCCGCCGCCCTCTGCTGCGGCCCCGCCGCTCTCACCTGCGGCCCCGCCGCTCTCGTCGACGGCCCCGCCGCTCTCACCTGCGGCCCGGCCGCTCTCACTGGCGGCCCCGCCGCTTTCACCTGCGGCCCCGCCGCCCTCTGCTGCGGCCCTGCCGCTTTGACCTGCGGCCCCGCCGCTCTCGTCTGCGGCCCCGCCGCTCTCATCTGCGGCACCGTCACCTGCTGCAGCGCCGCCCGCCACCCGGACTGCCCGACCCGCCCCACCCAGCCGAGCAGCCGATCGCCGCGCCGCCCTGCAGCAGCACCGCCGAGCCGCCCGGGCAACCGAGCAGCCGGACAGCCGAGCCGCCGGGCCGCCCAGCAGCCGAGCAGCCAAGCCGCCCTGCAACCGAGCCGCCCAGCAGCCGAGCCGCTTTGCAGCCGAGCCGCCCAGCAGCAGAGCCGCCGTACAGTCGAGCCGCCGGGCCGCCGAGCCGCACTGCAGCTGAGCCGCCCAGCCGCCCAGTAGCCGAGCCGCCGAGCTGCCGAGCCGCCCTACTCCCGAGCCGCCCGAGCTGCCTTGTCCGGTGAGCACAGTGCCTCTTTTACTGCACTGCCCTCACCCTACTGTTGCACTACTAGTCTACTGTGGTCATGGTTACCCCTAGTGTCCTCGCTTTTGACGCTGAGGGTCAAGCCATTGACTTTGACGTCTGGGTAGATGACCTGCAGCTGTTCTTATAGTGCGATAGGGCAGACGGTCTCTCTCTCTTTGACCTCACCTCTGGCGCCTCTCCTGCCCCTGCTGCTGATGCTGACGCCACTGTTCGCTCCCTGTGGGCCACGCGCGACGCTGCTGCACGTCTTGCTGTGCGTCGCCACCTCCCTACCTCCGAGCGTGCGCACTTTAGTCAATACAAGAGTGCTCAGACCTTGTACGACGCTGTAGTTGCAAGCTACTCCTCCCCTGCCACTGCTACACTGAGCCGTCTCATGCTACCGTACCTCTTCCATGACCTTGCTGCCTTTCTCACAGTTGCTGACCTCATTACGCACCTCCGCACTAGTGACACTCGCTACCGCGCTGCGCTTCCTGCTGACTTCTGCACCAAGAACCCCAACCCCATGTATATCACCCTCTACTACATAGTCACCCGACTCCCTGACTCCCTTCGCATAGTCAGGGACCACTTCCTCGCAGTGTGCCCCACCACTCTCACCGTTGACCTCCTCGAGAAGGCTCTCCTAGTGGCGGAGAAGAGCATAGTCGCTGTAGGAGCCTCTCGTGGTGACCCCCGCACCCCTGTCTTTGAGGTGTGTTCTCCCTCCCCCCTCTTGCCCTCTGTTGCCTCTGCTGCTGCGGCCGACCTCGTTGGTTTTGAGTCGGTCGGTGCTGCGTCTGCCCCTTCGGGGAAGCGCCGCACAGGCAAGGGCAAGGGGGGCAAGGGCGCTGGAGGAGCTGGCGGGGGCGGTGGAGGCGGCGGTGGAGACGGCGGAGGGAGTGGGGGTGGTGGTGGGAGTGGTGGAGGGGGTGGGGGTACCGGTGGCAGCAGTGTGGGCAAAGGCGGCGGCGGTGGCGGAGGGAGCGGAGGCGGTGGTGGTAGCGGAGGCGGCGGTGGTGGCGGAGGCGGCGGTGGTGGCGGAGGCGGTGGAGGCGGCGGAGGCGGCGGAGGTGGCGGTGGAGCTGGTCGCGGGTCTACGAAGAGGAGTGGCTCTGGTGGTGGTCCTTGCCAGCAGCAGCAGCGCGGTCGTGAGACCCTGACCCCTCAGCAGCTCCGTGAGTGGTACACTGCACGCCAGCGGGGTGGGGGTTTTGGTCCGTGCACCTACGTCCTACACACCGGCGACCGTGCGGGTGAGCAGTGTGGGGGTGCGCACCCCACCCAGGGCTGCTTTGGCCGCCTGACGGACGCGTGGCGTCACCAGTTCCCACAGGCTACAGAGATCCCTCGCTGGGGAGAGTTGTCTAGGGCGGGAGTTGACATCTATGATCTTGATTTTGATGCTATCCTTTCTGCCATGTATGATGTGACTATTAGTGATGAGGGTGACTGTTACCGGTGTTTCCCGCCCGATCCGGGCATTGAGACTGCTGCTCTAGGTACTGGTGAGGCTGCTGCCCTAGGTGCTTGCGACGCTGCTACTCTAGGTGCTAGTGCGTCTGCGTCCTCAGGTACTGGTGAGTCTGCGCTCTCAGGTACTGCGTCGGCTTCGGCCTCCCTCACCTTCACCCTTGACTCTGGGGCTTCTCGCTCCTTCTTTCGGGACCGCACCACACTTACGCCGCTTAGTTGGCCGGTTGCGGTGTCTCTGGCTGACCCCTCTGGGGGTCCGGTCCTTGCTCACTTCTCCTCTGTCCTCCCGTGTCCAGCGGCTCCCTCTGGCACCCTGTCTCGACTCTACCTCCCCTCGTTCTCTACGAACTTGGTGAGTGGTGCTGACCTACAGGATGGGGGAGTGCACCAGTTCACTCCTACGCGTCAGCGAGTGACGCACTGCACAGAGGCTCGCACAGCCCGACACTGGGCTACGTTTACACGTCAGCCGGGGTCGAGCATATACACACTGACCACCGCGTCTCCTCCTGTTGCTGAGACTGGTAGGGTAGCTGCGTCGGGTCAGGTGTTTGCTGCAGCATCCAGGTCTGGTACTGAGTCTGCCCCCTGTTCGTGTCGTCTCCTGTCTCACGAGACTCTCCTCTGGCACCACCGCCTTGGACACCCCTCTCTGCTTCGTCTCAGAGGCATGGCCTCCCGTCTTCTTGTTTCTGGTCTCCCCCGGTCCCTCCCTCCCCATCCTCAGGGACCTGGCCCTTCCTGTGTCCCCTGTGTCGAGGGGCGCCAGCGGGCTGCCCCTCACTCCTCCCAGTTTCCTCCGATTGAGGCCCCGCTGCATACGCTTCACATGGACGTGTGGGGCCCAGCCCGCATCCGTGGACAGGGTCACAAGCGCTGCTTCCTGCTTGTTGTTGACGACTACTCGCGTTACACTGCAGTCTTCCCCTTGCGCAGCAAGGGTGATGTCACTGAGGTGCTGATCAACTGGATCCGCGCAGCTCGTCTCCAGCTCAGGCAGAGCTTTGGCTCGGACTTTCCTGTTCTGCGTTTGCACTCGGACAGAGGCGGAGAGTTTTCCTCTGGCCTTCTGAGAGCCTACTGTCGCGCACGAGGCATCCGTCAGACCTTCACGCTTCCGGACTCTCCGCAGCAAAATGGGATCGCTGAGCGCCGCATTGGCATGGTCATGGATGTCGCTCGTACGTCCGTGATGCATGCGGGTGCCCCCCATTTTCTGTGGCCGTTTGCGGTGAGGTACGCGGCGCATCAGA